GCAGAAAAACAGTACACTGAGGAATGAATGACTCAGACTTGTAACTCACAAAAAGATCTAATATCTAGCCAGGGAATACAGAAAAAGGTGTTCATCCTCATTATTAATCAGAGAAATACATATTAAATCACAACAAGATATCTTTCCACCTCCACCTGAAGAGAGAAAATTCAAATTGCTGACCATATCAAGACAAAGACATAGAGCTATGGAAAGTTCCATAACCCTACTGGTAGAAGGCAGATTGGTACAACTGCTTTGGAAACCAGCATGGAATTTTGGCATATAAAGCTACCCTATGTCCCAATAATTCTACTCCTACACTAATTTCCAATAAAAGTGTGCATAAGGGCACTTCATGAAAATTCAAGGTATATATCCACACTTAGTGTACTTTTCTATATATGTCTCACCTCACCAAAGAGAAATAGTTTTAAAGAAAAAATGAAAAAAGAGAAACTCCAACCAAGGTCGTGTATGTGTCTTGGAAGGGGAGCAAAGGAGCACGAATGGCCCCTTGCATGTCTGCAGCCTGTGCACCGGCCCCTGTGTGGCACTCAGTTCCGCCTTGCCAGACTTCCTGAGCAAACTGCCATTGCCTTGACACTTGCATAGAAGATATGGGTTCAGAAGAGGAGGCAGCGAATCTCCAGTACCACCTTGACTACCAGAGGGCTAGTAAAACTTTTCTTTGGAAAATACAAATTGTTTTTCAGAGTGAAGGATTATTAGCCATTTGCACACAAGACTATATTCATCCAGTAATCTTATTTTCCTCCAACCACACATAACCAAGATCCAGTGCAGAGGGAAAGGGAACTTGGGCTGAGAAGTAAAGGGCTGGATTTGCAGATCAAGGGAGAGTAGGTAATGGGGTGGGGGTGAGCTGAGCTGAGTGAGGGCCCTGTTACCTATTCAGGGAGAGCTAGGATGAAAGGAAGGAAGGCGAGGTTGTGGGTTGTAGATGGCCACTGACCTCTTTCACAATTTCATACCGGGTTAGCCCCAAATCCAGGCAAAAGAGGAAGAAATAAATTCATCCTTTATCTTGCCCTTCTTTCCTATACCCACCTGATCCCCTTTCATTCATCTGCTTGTTCATTCCTTCATGCCTCTGACAAACTGTTACAGGGACCTGTGCAGAGGGAGTGAACTCAAAGACATCCCTGCCCCAGGTCATGGATCCCAGGACCCCAAACCAATGCAATCCCCGAAGACACCTGAGTCTTTCCACCCACAGGCGCCACGCTAGGTCCTGGAGACTAAATCACCACCAAAGGCCCCCCACAGATATCCGTCTCTGTTTTATTCCCCCAGGCCCACAACCCTACCCAGTGTCCCACAGTGTGTGGCAGCTCCTGTAGGCCGGAGCTCTGCCTAAGAACTCCCCACGCCCTGCTGAATCCCACTGCCATCTCTCCTTGGATTCCACCCAGGCCTCTGGAAGCTGGCTCTGCCCCTCACAGGGGCCTCACTTGGCCACCACTGTACTTTCCTACCTTTTCCTGTATGTTTGGATTACAGTCGCATGTCTTTGTTGTCCTGTCTTCTATTCCCTCCTACTGCTGCCTCCCTGGGATGGCAGCCTACCTTGTTGAGTCTACAGCCCAAAGATCACAAACGTCCCTAGGAACCAGCCTCCTAGCTGAATGCAAGACTCAGTACCTGGCCTCGCTGCCACGGAAGTAGTAAGGAGTGGTGAGGAATGTAGACAAGCACATCAGTTTAACCTAGCCCTAGGGGATGGTCATCAAGCATCAAAGCAGAATAGAGAATGGCCATATTTTTCAATTATTCCAAAGAAATGCTATATTATAGTAATATATCATATTACTATATAAAACCTTGGAATTCTTAAATGCTGGCAAATTAATTAATATTTTTAAAATTCAGTGACACAAGCAAACTAGACTTAAAGGCCACTTAAAGGCCAGCTTGTCCTCCACAGGGCTTGAACTCACTTCATTCTTGCCTGTCCCAACACCAGATAATAATAACTATGGTCAACACATGGCCTTTACTGTGTGCCGGCACTATTTTAAGTGCTTCACCCATATTAACTCGTTTAATCCTCTCAACCACCCCATGGGTAAGTGCTAATATTATCCCTACCTTAAGATGTGGAATCTGAGGCACAGAGACCCAAAGTGACTTGCTGAAGTTCTCCCAGCTAGTAAGTGCCAGAGCTTGGATTCAAATCCCAGCGCTGTGCCTCTAAAAGCAGATCTTAACCTAAGCATTACAATCATGGATACCATTGCTAGTGTGTTTGGGACTACTACGTCATATTTCATAGGTTCCCCATAACCAGGATTAGTATTGTTTAGAAGGGAAATGTACTCCAGGTACAAATAAATGATACAGATTAATCCCCAAAACAAGGCATAGGAAAAATAGTGCTCCTGACATGGGGCCACAGTGTTTGGTAGTATTTGGAGGAAAGGACAGCGTCAAGTCCTTTGTGTTTTTTAGTTAATAATTCAAGGAGAAAAATTTTGTATATCTTGAGTATATAGGAAAAAGTAGGACAAAAAAAAGTCAGTTCAATGTCAACTATTAATGAGATTAGAGTACTGTGACTCCTTCATGCATTAATTCAGAGGGAAAATTATCAACTCATAATAAGTCAATTAGAATTCAGAATTAGGCACATTAAAATGTCACAAAAAGTATATTTTTAAAGTGGCATTTTCTTCCTGACAATTCTGCATTAAGTGTGTCACAGAGCACAATTATTTTGCTCTGCAGGACATAATTAACAGTCTCCATAATTAATCACATCTTTTCAACATCACAAATGGTTGGTCATGGCTTCAATCTACATTCTGAAGCAATTTTTTTTGCTACAGATAGAGTCTCATTTTAATTCTCATATTCATAAAATCCACCTAGAAAGGGAATGCTCTCTAATTAAGGGCCTACACTTTATTTAATTTCATAGCAATTTCACCACCTCTAAGGCTACCAGACGGAGAGAACACAAATCCTCTTGGAAATGAATTCTCCAAACTTCCTGAATACTAAAGTCCCTTCATTAGGGATGATAAATTCACACTGAGCCAGGAAGGGAAGGTGACAGAAGGTAAGACCCAGAGAGCAGCCACCACTCAGGCCCTGCCCACTGCTGCCACACAAGGACTAGGACCGCTTTTCCCCGAGTTTATAGATGTTTCAAGAAAAATAATATTTTTTATGCAAATTCACAAATTTTATGTGTTCGTTCATTATTTTTAGTATGTATGACTGAGCAAAATACTCCTAAGCCTGGATGTGGCTAATGCACTGCCAGTTGAAAGTCTGTCTTTAAACTCAACTAGTATTTCTAGTTCAGTCCAGTTTAATTATGGTGTCAGATGGGTTCACTATATTTCAGGTCTAAAGTTTGATCCAGAGTCTTATACGGACAAATGTAGTAACAGTCATGTTACTAGACACGCAGAGTTGCAGAAATCTATATCAGGGGTGAGTGTGTGTGTGTGGCACCACTTCCAGAATTCTACTGCAAAAGGACACACTCAAGTTTCAATACGTTCCTAACTGGTAAGTGCCCCAAGTGAGATATGCAGCCAAAACAACAACAA